ATCAATAATGAGTGTGACAAACGCAATGCAGTATAATATGTTATTTTCATCAACGCATATGTGTATGTGTGTGTGCGCGTGCGCGCGATATTGTCATGTATAGTATGTATTTTATATGTTATGTGCAATCGTTTTCTTAAATCGAAAAAATGTAGTATAAGAGGGCGTAACAAGAGTGAACTAAAAATGAGAATTTCTGAAGACGTATAATGACTTAAACGTTTAGAAAAATCTGGTAGAGGTTTTGTTGAAATTTTTTTTAAATAAAATAATGATTCTACGATTCTCCCAATTTCAGATTTTGTTAATAAAAATACAAAAACACGAAAGACATACGCATATTCACGTGTACCTATATATTGTATATTTTAATAAACCAATAACAGAAGCTTATAAAACTGTATTGCGCGTGGATGACACAGAGACGATGTTCAAAATTGAATAATATACGAATACTATATAACTTCGTCTGCGTGTCTGCGTGTATCCGCATGAATTGCAATTACAATACACTGTAAATCATGAATTGTTTAAAAATATTTTTCGCCACTTATAAGTGGAATAATAACATTTAATACAATTAAGTATGGTTATTTTTTACATTATTCATGATATATTTACAAAGAAAATTAATATTTCATAATATAGCAAAACGTAATTTTGAATATTGTGTATTGAATTAAATTAATTTTACAACCATTTTAATGATTAAATATTTAAAATCAAAGTTTAAAACGAATAATTGTTTAACATAAAATTCTAATTTTTTGAGTAAATTAATGTGTTTTTATAATAATTGTGTTTGTGGAAATTGAAGTGATAACTACACATATATTTTACCGAATAATGAATTTATTATTGTTTTTTATTTGATATATTTAAATCAGCGGTTCCCAAACTTTTTTTTTCTTTGTTGCCTTTTTTAGAAACCAATTTAGCCACGGTGCCCTGGCTGTGAATATCATTAAATACAGAAACAAAAAAAGATCTATTGATAACCGATTTTATTAATTTTAATAAAATTTAACTTAGTTATAAATTAATGCATTTTTAAACTTAAAAATTAGATAAATAAAAATGATTGTTATAATGATTATAATTAATGTATTAAAATATTATAAGGTTAAAATGAGAATAACCGATTATACAATAGAAAATATTACATTATTTTTTATAAAGTTTTTACAAAAATAATAAGGAAAAACAATTTTATACATTTTAAACTATTTGTTATGAAACGTAGACGGCGGTGCCCTTAGAAAGTGGTCGTGGTGCCCCTAGGGCACCGCGGTGCATAATTTGGAACCGCTGATTTAAATTATTTCATATAGTAAAATATATTTTTAATTTAATAATCGAAAGCAAAATAACTTTCTGAAAATATCAATGATGCATACAAATTAAATACCGAGCCAGTATCTATAATTGTTTATTAAGTACAAGTACCAATGGGTTTTGAGATTCAATGAACTAAGTGAAATAGCGGTGAATAATCTACGCAATGTCGGAGGACTACTTCACCTTATAAATAAACAAATAGCAATGTGAATTATTAGAGATTATTAATATTGCTAATTAATAAAATGAAAAATACTAGTAATATTTTATAATTTTTATGGAAAAAAACAAATATTTAGAATTGAATACCTTAATTCGAAAAGCAAGTTCTATATAAATAGTGCATATTTATTTCTTGAACTCATAAATTATTATGTAATAATTCTATTCAACTAAAAGTATTTTTGAAAATTGAAACAATAATTTGTATACTTTAATTCTTTATTGATCTTAATTGAAATTATTAATTTAGTTAATTTGAATAAGTTGAGTTAATTAATCTAACATTTAAATAAATTTAATGTATCGAATAACTCTTTCATTGTAAATGATTTTAGTTTTTTGTGAATATTGTAAGAGTATGCAGCACAGACAGGTACTATTGATTAGTAGAACAATAAACTTTCGTTTTGGTTTATTTACTGTGTACATATAAAACTAAAGAAAAAATTAGATTAGTTAGTAAATTTCTTTATGCACTTTATATTAAAATATTTCAACACTTGAACTGAAAGCATTTCATTTCACAATATTAACATTTTTCCCTAGATGAAATGTACACATAAATACAATTATTTAATGCGGTATGTTTGGCATTATTATTACTATTTAGAAACACATTTATTATAAATAAATAACATAAGTATATGAAATAGATAATTTTTTCTGGAAAATTTAATTCACGGTTGTGTTCAAAATTGAATTAGATATTTTACATAGGTTCAGTTTTCTTGTCGGATTATTTATATGATTATGTTTGATTGAAATGATGGTCAAATATTAGGTCTTAATTTAACACATCACTATTTGTATATGTTAGATATACATATTTTTCATCATTATATTCAGTATAATTTGTCTACAATTTAAGATATTTAGGACCTTTTTGTTTTTACAATTTTTTAATTCGTTTTAATCGCATATTGAAGTGAGAATTTGCGTGGTCGTGTGTGTGTATGTGTGTCAAATGAATTTTTAAAAATTCATGTTTTTTTAACTTAGAATTAATGTTATGGATGATAAATTAATAATTTTAAGAAAATAATGAAACCATTGTAAATAAAAACTATTAGTGTTGTATTTTAATAGTATGAACTATTATTGTACAATTTATTTGTCCGGCACTTCAATGCAATATAGAGTTAAACCATAATATTTTTATGATCAACGCGGTACATGTGTGTATCCGGTTGTTAATATGTTTTGCACATTTATTGATGTACTGCGTATATTACACTTTTTTTTTTTTTAATTAATATTTAATAAATTATTATTTAAATAGTCAGTTCAAAGTCATTGCTGCAGAATATACGTAGTAAATAGCACAATTTTAACGATGCAGCAATATGTATTTCGTCATATTAGAATTTTGTTATTATATTGATGCGATTAAACCAAAAACGTAAACCAAGACAACTTGGCAACAGAACCTAAACGAACGAATTACGTCAATCCCAGAGTCATATGTTATTTGTATGAGTAATACTAGTTACACAAAGCGTTTTCTTACGAAAATCGTAATCATACTCTCTAATATATCGGATGACCCTTTTCTTGCTAGTTAGACTTAATTTAATAATATTTTCACTATTTGAAATTTCTCAACTTCAATATATTAAATACGTGTGTGTTTAAAATTAATGTTTTGTCATTTTTTTTTATTTTTTTAGTTTAATTTACATGTAATTTTGTAATTTTTAATATATTTCTTAACCCTATAAATATATTGAATCTCTTAACATTTCAAATGTAGTCCTTTGAAAATAATTAAAAATAATTCTAATAAATAATTCTGTTGTTCACATAAGACGTTTTTATTATTTGTCACATTTGACTAAAATAACATAATTAACAATTTCTTGACGACTAAATGTTTTACAAATTTTGAGAATTTTCAATCTAAGTTGTGACATCTGAAATCTGATACTGCAGTTTGCACATAGCGGGTACCAGTAGCGACAGATGTATTGCAAAATCTATAAATAATCATATGCGTCCATAATAATCTCAAAGATTTATGATATCGGTGAACGAATTATATTCCGAACTGTAAACACTCATCGAAATAATGTACGAAAATGTCATTAACGTGGGTTAAATGAATCACCCGGTACGAAGACAAAAAAAAACACCTGATACTACTTAATCAAACACAAACGTTCATTTTGTTTTCAAATAATATTATATTATACTGTGCCAATAACATTTGCATAGTATAAATGCATTTTGAGGTGTACAGTTTTGTACTTTGGATTAAATTTACGCTAGTGTATTTCTCTCGCGATCAGATCTATTCGCAATCGTCGCGATCATTACAATTGTTTTTTTATTCGCTGTGGATGGTTCGTCGTTATAGTGCCGGATGTGAGGGAAAGGTCGAAATGCGCTTATTTTAATCGAACTGCACTCGGTTCGAAAACTGGTTATTGGTCGAACTAAAATCTAGAAAAATGTAAGAAAAAAAAATTCAATTTATAAGTACCAATAATAACTATAATATCTTTCGAATGAGAAAAAACAAATGATATTGTATTCTCGACGATACATCGTTTGATCCAGTATTATAATATGTTGAAAAATATTTTTAGTATTTTTTTGTTGGAATTCGACGTAGTTTCCATTCGCTACGTCTCAGAAATATTACATTAAGTCATAACCTTGATATTACTGTGTGGGTGTGAGCTAGTGTTTTGTTTGAAATCCTAAATTCACGTTTCAGGAGATAACCATTCATTTTTAATGAGTGATCAAATTTCATAAGATTGGTTCGTGGATAAATATAACATACATCATATTTACGTACGATCATTTTTTTATTATAATTCTTATCTCGTCGAAGAGTATAACAATGTTATCTTTTGCGTATCGAACTTTGCTAACCCGAGTGCAGTTCGGCCATTTTCTATTTGTTCGAGCCGAGTACAGTTGGACCGCATTAATTCAAAAATAAGAAGTGCGATTCGACTGTTTCCGGGTATATTATACATCATATACTTCGCGTGTTTTTGCGTATACGGATACGCTATAGTCTCGTAGTCACGACATTAAGTTTGCGCAAACGAAATATAACAGTGGTTAATAACCTGGGAGGGGGAACATGATCCCCTAGTGAGGGGTGGACAAATTTAAAAACCATAAGACATGAAAACGTTTTTCCGATTGTTAATATTTTATCGGGCATTGTTGAGTGAATCCGTTTTCTTCTATTTACGCGCACTAACATTTATTTATGCGCGCCGTAACACTCTGTACATCGCATAATATTTTTCTCCTCTACAAACAGATTCATTTAAAATCCATTGAAATTACGATTATCCAATGATTAGTACAATTATTTCACTTCAATATTTAAAAAGCAGCGCACATGCGGTGTTGGGTGTACCGGTTACAGAGCCACCGACGTATCGTTTGTTTATACGTTTGTTTCTTTTTGTCTGTCGCAGGAATTACTGAACCCTTCTGGGAAGAAATGCTCTCGCGGTCGGCGGACGCCACCGCCGCCGCCGTCTCTGCTGCCACTGTCGATTTCGCCTCCGCCACTACCGCCGCGGCCGTCGAGTCGTCCATCACTACCACCGTCGTCGCTCTCGTCGGATGAACCGGATCACTGCGGTCGCAACGAAGACGACGACGACGACGCGATGAGCTGTGCGGTTGCCGTGGACGACCTGCGAACGGACCCGTCGGTGCGCAAGTGCAGCACGAGCAGCACGAGTAGCGCGGGCAGCAGCGGCACGACGACGTCGGACGAGGATCACGACGCGGCCGCCGTGGCCGTAGACGCCTCGCCGCCGGTAGCCACCGGCAATGGCCGTGACCGTGCGGCGGCGGCGGCGATCAAGGGACCCGACTCAGAGATCCACACGGACCGAGACGAGTGTTCGTCGGACGAAAGCAACGGGCCGGACTCGCCGACCGGGCTGAAGGCGGTCGGTTCCGTATACGATTTCCGGCTGGACGGGGCCGACAGCCCGCCGTCATCGTCGTCCTGCGTCAGTAACCCTTTCGCAGCGGTCGTGGGACCCGACGCCGCGGACCTGACCAAGGTGGCGCGCAAGCAGTTGCGCATGATCAGGGAGGTGGACGTGGCCGTATGCCACCTGAACCACACTAACACGATCATCAGTAAAATACTCAGCTCCAAGTACCTGCGACGGTGGGAGAACCATCAAATCCGTTTGCAGGACGATTGCATCACTTCGAACACGGTAAGCGCAAACGACCGTAGACTGTTAACTCCTTCTCCACGTATCCGTCCCGGAGCCGATCCTTTAATTTTTCCGATCGGGCGAAACGGGCTCCCGCGTATACGGATGCCTCGGTCTCGTTTGCGCAGCGATCGGGTGCTCAGTCATTGCAATAGCGCTCCCTGGCGCTCAGGTGCCTAGTCCCATGGGTAAGACGCGCTGCCAAGGTATCGAATTAATAAACAGAACAATATGTGTTCATTCGACCTCAATATTTCCCTCTCGCTGCTTGTACCATGCGTGCGCAGCGATAACCTATTTAATAATCTATTTAAAATCTATATAGGATGTGACCTCCACGAGCTGCTCGGCGAGGTCTTGAATGTTCTAGGGCGCTATTTGGTTCCTTAAAAGTTATTCCTTGTATATACAAATGTCCTATTAGTTTTATGATATGTCTCATTATAACCATTTTTTCTCCTATATATTTTTAACACTTGCTCGTTTGATTTTCTTTCATCCCATGACGTTTCGTTCGTTTTCCTCCTTATCCAAATTTCTATAATCATATTATTACCTATAATTTTGGATTTAGTACATTTTTCTGCGTTCGGTGTTTTTTGCTTAACCATCGAATGGCTACAATATTAATACGTGGCTAACAATATGGACATTAAAATGATAGGAACCAGGATTTTATTTTTATCTCGTGAGTGTTTCGACCACAACGCGTAATACACATAGTATTACATTATGCCGTCGTAACATACTATTTTGGGAAATCGTTTAGAACTTCGGTATCGCATAGCAAAATAATTATCTTCCCCTTAACACGCCTGAACGATTGCAGCGGCAACGTATCGAATACGTACCTGTAATTAGGCGTACGTGCGTGAATATTACGTGCGTGATTATAATAATTAATAACAATGCGCAATACCATAAGTAAAACACGATCGAAATCGTGAACAGGGAGAAAAACGTACATCTCAATGGGGCGTACGTTATTTTTAGTTTCGCTGACATTTTTTTCGTTAGGTTATATGAAATTCGACCGAAAAAAAACGTCAGATATAAATTCGTTTGACGAACAATGTCGTTGTGTACGTACAACGCATATCTACATATCTTTCGTTTACACACTTGTAGTTCTATCTCATACATACCTAATGTTTTTCCGGCTACGCCGTTCGAAAAATTTTGCAACGCACATTTTGTCACGACGTTCGACATCATTAGGGCGATCGAAAAAACAACTGTTATTGCAGTATTTATATCATGCACACGAGATAGCGTTTTTCGCGACGTGATCAAATCTAATATGTGGTCGTTTCTTCCGAAAGTCATTTCCAGTACAATATTTTTATAAAATGTTATGTAATGCAACTATGAACGCAAGGCTGCACACGAACGACTCATAAAGTTAAGTTAATTAACGAAGTGCTTTTTTTTTTTTCTGATGAACTTTTAAATTAACGAGTACATTTTTTTTCACGGCGTGCATCCACTAATCAGTTAATTACACAATCAATTAACTGGATGCGACTACAATTGTATACTTCTATTTATAGTCACCCCCAAATAATTGTTAATAAATTTAAATCAAGAGGATAAAAATGATAATTTTTTGTATAAATTATTGTTTTCAATAAAAATAATCGGAACTGTAATTGTGAAAGCACTGTTATTATTGAATGCACTGTTCTTGGATTTCATAAGAATCAAAATTATGAACATTCATATAGTTTTATATAAATACAATTAAATTTAGTGATAAAAAAAATTCCTGAGTTTAGTTACTTTATTTTTATTTAACTTGTAATTTTTACGGTCTAGTACAATAGAGAAGTAACTTTAAACTTAAAACTTTACTTAAATTTGAATAAACTTAACGAATTAACAGAATTAGTTAATATGCGGTTAATATGCCTCACTTTGCATATATCCTCATATACTATATTTAGAATATAATTTATGGCGTCAAAAACCAATACCTAATGGCTTATGAGATTTTATCTACACAGATAAAATATCATACAAAATTATATTTGGTACTCTTACACTTTCTATGCATCTAAATATTTCAATCTTCAATCAAAAGAATATTTTATTTTTAAATATTATAGAATATAATATAAATTTAACTCATTGCAATTTGTAATCGATGTGTGTATATTGAAGTGTAGAGTAGTGGTCTTAGAATAAAAATTGTATAATGTCTTTTAAAGTTTTATGATGTGTCATTATATTTGCTGATTATAATTGAAAATAAAACATATTTGTAATTTGTACGCGCTTGTACGCAGAATGCATAAATTGATAGTTGTGATTTAATCGAAAATAACGGACATCTAATAAAGCGATTCATTTACTCCATCCAATAGGCAGTTAATGTTTTATATTACGTATTTTGAACTTAAGTACTATGGTACAATACGTTACACCTAAATACAACTTGGGTTGATTTCAAGTGCATGCTAAAAGCTCTGTTATTTGTTTATTTTTTCTTGTGAAAAAAGCCGGAGCCTTTTATTATTTTTCGCAAAGCACGTTATATTCATCAATTATTCATTTAAACGTATTATACTTTTATTGTACCGATAGCCGTTGAATCGAAATTGTTAATCGTTTGAACGTGTTTTTAAAACGATTTACTTTTAAAAACCTATGTACATTGAACGAAAATACCGTTTTATCGGATACGATTAGGAAGAACGGAGTAACGAAACCAAGTAGTTTTTAAAAATATAACATAACGCTGACTAAACAAGACGTTGTGCACCCGCGTGGGATTTGCGAACCGCGGATAAAACGGGGGAACGTGGTGCGAACGTTTGGACCGATTTCGACGGGGAATCGACGTGACGCGCGTTCGAAAACAACACGAGCACACGTTCAAAGCGATAAGCCTTTAAGAGCAATGCGCGCGTATGTTGTACGTGTGTTAGAACGTGTGTTAGACGTACCTTGTGCGTTACGTTTTTTTCTCGATCCGTACGGTGTATACACCGGGCAACAACGGCTGCGAACAATAATAATATAAACAATAAACGCCGGACCGAACTAGACGAAAGAGATGCTTCGAACGCAACACCGCGTTCCACCGGACACTGCGGTAAACGTTTTCGTACGGAGATCACACGTCGTGAAACGTTCGTCGTAGTTGCACGCCGTTGAACTTTGTCGCCCGTACAACAGCTGATTATTTTTATTTATCACGTGCGCCGGCCGTCGAGACGAGCTAATAATACACGTGGGCTGTGTTACGTGCCCGCGCCGAGCGGTGCACTACGCTCTCGGAACGTGTATCGCGGCTACCGTTGAAAGATTACCGGCAATTTATTTCTGGGTAACTTACTCCGGTAAATTACTGGTAATATTACTTTTTCGTGGTAATGTCGGGGAATGCATTTTTCAACGTACAGTTTTTTATGTAATATACTATCAGGTTAACTTACTCGAGTAAATTACCGATACATTATTTTTTATGATGATGAGATGGGGATTTCGTTTTTCGATACCGAAAATCCAAAATATACCCGATCGAATAAAAAACTAATATTAAGTATTTATTATTATTATTATTATTATTATTTTGTTATCTAAATAATAAAATACCTAAATGGCTACGCTGAACTCTAAACCAACCGACTAAGAAAATTCGTTATTCATTTCTATGCAAATATTATTTCTCCTTATACGAAAAATTTAAATATTTTCTATAGCTATTTAAAATTTAAATAGCCAATAAAGATATTTATTACATTTCATAAATGCTAATCAAAAGTACAGAACATAAGTATAAAGTACAAAAATAGTAAAACTAAATTATATAATAACAGGAAATAGAAAGTTACAAATAATAAAACATATATTTAGATTTATTTAATTAAAAAAAAAAAAAAACAACAAATTACGTCAGTCTTGAGTTTTGTTATATCACAAAATATTTTAACAATTTAATATACACCTAAAAAAAAAAAATAATAACTTCCAGTATAAAATTAATGTACAGATTATCAACAAAATAAAAATAATAAATTGCACTTATTACTTATTTTAGAATATAACAAAATATGTAATAACATTAGATGTAGCGTTTAATATATTTATAAAAAACATTACATTGAATACACAGAACGTCTATTGACAGTACATTTTATAAATTCTTCCCATATTTCGGAATGATCGTGACTTATTTTACCAGTAGAAAAGTAAAGTTACTAAAGTTCTCCTCAGGTCTCAGACGATTAAATGAATAAAGGCTATCACGATCTATCGAGTTTTAAAATTTATAATTTATAATCATAAAGCTATAACCGTGGCTATAGCTTAATGAATTATAATTTAAAATATATTTTAAATATATTTATATTTTTCTTTATCAGTTATCAGTGTTATTACTAATCACTTACCACAGGCCACAGGCCACACTCACTATCACCAATTTTCATTTACCAAACCCAAACCTCCAAAGAATCTAACCAGTAACCACTAACCTTAAAACCTGTAGGCTGTAACCATATGAAATATGAATTATGAAAAAAACAATTAATTATTCGTAAAGTGGTAAAGTAATTTATATTTATTACTTTACCGATAAATTACTTACTTTAAAATACTTTACCAAAGTAATATTAATGACTTACATCACTAATTTCAACGGAACGCGTCTGGCCACGGTTCGGGAAAAACGTACGACGAATAAATGTGTAAAACTAGGTAATTTCTGTTGTGTCTGCGATGAAGAACACCGACATGGCTGTGCCAAGCATTTTCCGTTTAAGCATTTCTTGCACACCGAACAAATACAATACGATCGTAACCGATTGCTCGATGGTTCTATTATTGCCATTGTGTTAATGATTGTTTTTGATTTTATTCAAATTATTTTGTGTTATTATTTTATTCGGTGTTACGATTTATTTTCAAAAAAGAAATTTTTTATGGAATAATGAGGTCGGAAACAATATAATGTGCAAATTACATTATGTTGTCCTAAGTGTTTTTTTTTTTTTTATTATTATTATTATTATATTTCATAAAAACTAAAAAAACTAAAAAAATATTTCATATTTTAGATTTCATAAAAACGATAGAACGTTGTGAGAGAATCATTTCTATGAATTGGAATGATTAAACTCTTATAAATAAACACTACTTTCTTGTTACCATACGAGAAAGGTGAGAGGGTTTTATGGTTAAAACGTTATGCAGATAAATATAATCAAAATAACTGTTTTATTATGTCATCAAAAACTGTTTGTTTCATTGTACATTAATGGACTTTATGGAATTGATTTTTTTACCATTATTTGATTTTCAGCCGACTGGATTTCTTAACAAGACCATTGGATACGAAGCCATAAAAAATCTATACCCGGTAAAAAGATGGGATTCAAATTTTAAATACTGTCTTCGTGTAGTCGTCACCAATGGTTCATATTTGTTACAGGTGAATATTACTAGTTCATATTTTTAAAAACATTAAATTATTTAGTTGTAATATGTTAATTGAGTTACCTGATTTTATTCTATTTTTTTTTTTTTTTTTTTGATATACATGTGTGCAATTTAAATGCATACTTAAAACGCCGTAAATAACGTTTTAAATTATGTTTACAGACGACCAATCAGTATTTAAGAGATCAAATTCGTTATTCAATCTTATGGAAGGTTTGTCAAAAGCTTATTTCTAATGTTAACTTCTTATCTCTAAAGTTCTTTTTTTTTATTTTTTACCGCAGAAAAACGTTCACGAGACCCAAACACTTTTGAAGAGTCAATCCGATCCAGACGATATGTTAAAAGAGTTGCAGGTAAACTTTTGTTATATTTATACTATACCACTGTACAATTAATTTTTGCCGACTCAAAATAAAACCTGAAGTTATTCTAAACGCATGTATTTCTAATAGAATATAGTCGATTTTGCCAAAAACATTCCACTGGTTGATGATGAAATATTTCACATGCCAACATTCATCGCGAGTACGCTTATGACAAGAGTACGTTCAAGCTTTAATATTTATAATAATATATGTATAACAGAATAAAAATAATTGTATATCTTTGGGTTACGAGTAATTTTCGATGGGCTATTTCGATGTTTAGGACCAGGAAAAGTACTGTAAACAATCATGGGAAAAGGCACTAATTGGTACGTTACGCCCGCTGATTGAAGACTGTCCCCCGTCCGCCGAAATGTGTTCGTTTTTATCGCATCATTGCAAAGACCAAAGTAGCCTACCTATCATTAAAGATTCCCTAGTTTACACCATTACAAGAATACTGAAACATAATTTTGTAAGTATGCAAAAGTAAATACAACAAAAAACGTAAATCTGTCAATGTTTGTCGTCCGTTTATTCGTATTGACCGTTTTGCATTTCAAAAATAGGACTTTGCGAGAACGCTGACGGCTCGCACTTTAGTACAAGATTATATTAAGGCTCTTTACATCCAGGATCAAAGTGGTGAATCAATTAGATACTTCCTGTCGAGGTAATCATAACAGCGTCATTGTAAACTGCGTATGCTCGTTTTTGCGTGAACGTGAACGATATGTTCCAACCGAACTCATGCGTATACTTTTGTATGTTTTTAGAGTGCACAGTGCCAGCGCTGTATGTCCTCATAACAGGGTGCTGCCGAACATGGTGTCCACCTGTATCACCGCTATATACTCTGCTTCAGAAGAGTTGCCGGCAAATTGTTCGGAAACCGAATTCGATTGCTATTACACCAATCACCTGAGATGCTACATTGTTGTTCTTCAAAACATGTAATATACTCACACACACACATATATTCGATTATAAACTCATCTCCTACCCCCAATTCATCCTCGATCTATAGTCATAAAGGTATGCACTTTGATTTAAAAACTTAAACATTTGTCAACAGATCAGAATACAGCGACTGGCTGTACGGACTTGCTCAACTGTTGCGTCCGTTGCCATTTCCCGCATTGCTGTTAATTCGTTCAATTTTTATGGAGTACGTATTTTTTATTGCATTCATGTTAACGCAAATTTAAAAATTGCGCCGCATTATTATTGCAGCAGTAAACACTGCTACGAGATCCAACATTATTAATTTTAATAACTAATACGCATAGTTCATTATTTTTAAAATGCTATTAGTTACAAGTCTTTGACAAATTAATTAACTATTTAAATATTCACAATTTAATATTGTTATAAGAACTATAAAAGTGGATAATACAACAAAAGCAAATAATATATAACGAATAATTACATTATTATTATATCTTGCCAGGATATAAGTACAATTTATTTGTATACTCATTTGTTTGACATTTTTTAAATATGTACATGAATATATTTTGTAATAATATATAACCAAACAGTCAATATAAAATAATATATGCCACTTATTTTAATAGAACGTAATTTATGCCCTACATTCTTTACTCGTATTAGTTACTAATACAATTTAAACGTGACATTTCTTTTATGACAGAAAATAATATTCCAAAAAGGTTTTGACAACCATTCTGATTTTGACACTATCCGAATAATACTTCACCCAGGACCCATGAGAACTGTTTGGTTTCTATTGTACGGTCACTATTATTATTGTTTCACATTAAAATATAGAATGGTTTATGAAAACGCAAATTTGTGCTACTTCAATACCAATTAACTATTGTTCTTTTTTTGTTTACTAGGGACATGTCCTCTGTGATATTAAAAATAGGACTGCACGAAGATTGCGAAATTCATAAGCAGGTGTTAGCTGTCCGCGAGACAAAAGACGGCTGGTTCGATTTATGTTCGCCAATAGGAGCCGTGTTCTGTGGAAGTTCACTTGTGTGGACTCAACTGGTATTTTTTTATATCAAACAGTCACATTATGATCTTACAAATAATAAATTTACTTATATATGTTACTTATATTTTCTTAACTCTGCAACATTATAAATTCCTCTTTGAATCAATGTTAAACATTTTTTTTAAATCTGACAAATATAAAATATAAATACCTGTTTATAATTTAACCTATATTACAAAAAATATACCCATAATTTAAATAAATTAAATTTAAAAAAATATAAATGGTTTTTATAAATATAGTTAATATTAAAATTATTATGCATACGAAAAGATTAAAATAGACGATTGTAATCCGAAAATGTTCAAATACATATAATAATTATATAACCTATTCAGTGCTGTAGTCATAAAAAAAACAAATGGGATATAAGTAATATATATATATATATATATATATATATATAAATATATTATATAAGTTTTAACCAATCATCATATTATTATATCCAGTCTATTGATTATTATTATTATTATAGGTATATAATAATTTAGTCCATAGATAATAAATTATTATTATTGTCAATCGCCGTTCGTAATCTTTATTTATTTAAAGTTTAGATATTAATAGCATCAGATAATGATTTAAAACAAAACGACTACTGATTATTTGGGGAAGGGCGCAAATTTGTTAATTCTTACAGGGTGCCAATGACTCTACTGCCGGTATTATTAATACTATTAAATTTATAACTATAACTATTAATAAAAAAATTGAAAAATATTCATTAAGTGTTACCATTAGCTGAACGATTTAGCCATGACTAAACATGAATTTTTAGTTTGAACACTTCAATAGGTGAGCCGTTAGATTTAATAAAAAATTTAATTTAATATATTTGAAATTAAAAATGATACTCTCAGATTTGTAAAAATATTATTCATGAGACTAAATCCCCTTTCGCATTCAACTATTGAACATGGCAATGATGCGATTGTATTTAAAATAGGTTTAAAGTTTTTTGGTATCAATTCATTATCTTCAATAAAGGTTTTTAAATCTTTAGCTTTTTCAATTTCATCAACATAAAAACGACTTCAAATTTTTTGATGTTCAGATTCTCTATACCGATTACTTCCCGTTCCACTACTTTTTAATTTACCTAGATCCAGTAGGTACTGAAATATCACATAGCAATTGATAGTTTTCATCACCTAAACTTAAACTTAATCTTATCATCATTCTATCAAATATACTTTGAATGAATTTATTTTGGTAATGGGAATAATTTTTTTTCTCGGAATAAGTTGAACGTCATTAAATAATAGTTTTTATTTAGCATTTATCACTATTTTTTGTATATTCTTCTGGTTCTTATTTGAAACTCAATTATTCTAATTGTTCTTTTTATTAATTGTTCAGCTTTTAGTAGCGTGATTGTTCAAGAATGTAAATCATTTGATGAAAATGAGAGTTATTGAAGTACATCAAACATAAGACCTAGGTCTAAAACGAATTCTGGAATTTCAAATTCTTTTTTCAATCCAATAAATACCGAAATTTTATTTTTATCATTACTTGTATCATCACAATAACTTTTTAAATAAGAATGGAGGGCAGAAAATGATATCCAAACTGCTTTTACTATCTTTAGACTACTGAATATCTATCAAGTACTAAATACATGTCATATTTTAATAAACTGCTAATTCAAATCTTGACAAAAATTTGGAAAGTACAAAAATATTTTGGTGATAAACTGTACAAACTATATAACTTATCATTAAAGATTTTAGAATGGTCGATTCCTCGAAAGTCTTTTACTGTATCGAATATTGATAGTTCAAGTCTATGATTAATGCAATTCCAAGCAAAACGTTTTGGATACTTTTGACGTAATCAAATTTCAACATCTGCATTTTTACCAATCATAACACTAGCTTCATTTGTAGCTATAGCCACCCTATTTTTTGGAAATATTCTCCATGTAATCCATTTTATTTTAATACGTTCAGAAGTTGTTACTACTATTAACTGTTATTTAACTACTATAAATAAAATAAGATATTTATTGTATTTAAAAACCTTAATCGTTAAGTTATATTTATAATTGTTTGATTTAGCTTAAGACGTTAATGGCTTGCGATCGTTGCAAAAAAAAGAAATTGTTGAAAAACTTGAAGGCCAAGCATTTGGGAACTTGCGTCTCGGAGGCGTTAAAAAGCAACAAAATTGTGATGGATGTTTTGTGTTTAATGCTCGAGTGGATGGTTGTGGAAGACTTACATCAAAGAAATCAAATTGTTGATACACTCAAGTCCACCGAATTTGGGAGAAAAGTCTACGATGATTTTATGTCAAGACAAAATCAACTACTGGAATTGGTAAGATAAAAATAGAAGTTATGTTTTTTAATGGTGTTTATACTGATAGGTATGAGTACGTATAAGTGTTTTGTGTATTTATTATCTGATAAAATATCCAAAATCGACAAATCGTTTAAATACGTACATAGTAATATTTGTCATTCAAGTAACATAGTGGCGCTCTTTACGTATAATTTTCCGGTGATACAGAAAATAACTCATATAATTTTAAAATTATAATAAAAAGAACTTATACTTGTATCAAATTGTTAAACTGATAGATGGTATTATATTTTGTAATATAACATCAATGTATATTATATAAATAACTTAAAAGGTTGTTTAGAACGTTTCTTATTAACAGATCATGTAATAAAAATATTTCTAGAACCGAAAAGGTGGACCGCAGAATCTGTCATTACCAGCTCGTGGTACTGACTTGGACCTCAATTCCATGTTTGATTGCGGTCCTTTCGGTAATTTAGAGTCCGTCGATTTGGCTTTTACAAATGTCACAGATACTTGTGCCAATACTTTGATCAAGTTACCATCTTTAAAAGTTCTTAACCTGTGGGGCACTCAGGTACGTGACCGTGTAAATGTTTTGAAACCCGTTGCAGCAGTTTTGTACGTAATTTTAAAATGATTTCAGTTTGGTGATTCTGGGCTATTAATCATATCGGATCATTTAACCAACTTACAAGTGTTGAATCTGTGCGAGACGAAAGTCACCGACAGAGGAATCGTATCGCTCATAAGTAATATACGTGCGAGTGTTTTTAATTTTTAAAACCTATGATTTCATGAACTTGGTTTTAGGTCTTATAAATTTGAAAAAACTTAATTTAAATAGCACCAAAGCAACAGTCCGCTCTGTAGATGTATTGAAGAAAAAACTACCAGGTCTGCACGAAGTAGATGTCAGATACTCTTTCGCCTGGTAAAAAGTATTTTTTTGTTATGTTATTATAATGTGTTCAACATAAAATGGTTATTATATTAATTTTTATTTTTGTTGACAATCTGCCTGAAAAACACATTTATCTAAGTATTCATTTTACGTGCAACTATAATAATAATAACAATAACGATTTAATATTATATAATATATAACTGTTTTACTCTTCGAGTATAAAAAGACTGTGGCCCCGTTTTTTTTATACATACTTTTTACCTTTATTTATAATATATTACCGAATAAATGTTTAAGGTAAAAAATAATTGTTAATTGACATTATTCAATGTTTTGTTGATAATATAAGTAAATATTAATGCTTAAGTGACACCGGGACACTGCATATAAGACTATGCCACAATGTTATATTATCTATAGTCGTGCCTTTTTCTTTAAAAAGCTAATTATATAGAGTATATGTATTACTCGTACTTAATTTTACTTATAGAAACGCTCAAAATTTTAAATTTCCATTACGATTTTATTATATTCATAGATAGGCGAATACGTCATATTTGTTTATAATTTTTTTTATTCAACTTTTTTATCGTAAAACATTCGTATAAATGTGTAACAACGAATTTCGACGAACAAAACTCTTTCACGGCGGATTGTTTGAATTTTGATTCTGGTTTTACCTACCATAAATTATAACTATATGAAAACTAATATACACGGAACAATAATTTAAGTGTATGTTAAAAAAAACATGAAATCTACACAAAAAAGGGTACGAACTGTGAGGGTATAAAGAATAATATAAAGAAAACACCAGGTAAATGATTAATACCTGTGTCATAAAATGTAGGTAGGCATAATATTATCACAGTAATAATATAATCATTATTTATTATTAATATTTTTATTATTTATTATTATTATTATTATTGTTATTACTACTATTATTATTATTATTACCATAATTATGATTATTATTATTATTATTACTATTCTTATTTTTATTGTTATTAATTTTATTATTAATACTTTAACTATTGTCTATTATTTTTATTATTATTTTTATTATTATTATTGTATACCATACATTAAAGCGTAAAATATTTTACACATAATTCATAGAACACGTACACTTATGTCGAAATAAATTAAAAAAACTTGTAAGATCTATGACTACCTCCAAGTGCTAAACTAATTAGTACATATCGCTATATTGTTTTTCTTCTTAAATGGGGTTTTTTTTATCACCCATGACGTATAGAATATAAGTGTAAACATTGAAATTCAATCTAAATATATCTAATATAAATAAAAAAAACATCTAAAAGATTTTGAAAATTGTTTGTTTATTTTAAATTAAAGCGTTATCTGTTTTCTGTATCATTAAAAAAAAAAAAAAAAAAAAAAAAAAAATTATAAAAAAATATTTTTACAGTAAAATGAAAATCAATCAAATTGTTTTGATTGAATATTATGTTTTGGCATCGTCATACGGATCTATTCTTTAGAGTTACGTACATAAAAGAATTTATACAATTTTTTTTTTTTTGGTAAAGATTAAATGGTGAATAATAATTACTTAAATACTGGATAATTTGTTCAAGAAGATACCACTATTACTGAATCAACTTTTAAAAGATTCCTTTCAATTATTTTTCTATTGATCACATTGTGTTAAATGACACCATTTATTTTTTTGATAAACTTTACGTTACATTTTATTTATATTTGTATATTCTGTGTGTGTCAATATATTTATCCAATTAAAAACAAATTTAACGACATTTTGATAATCAGGAAAAGTCTAGAAAAATCTTGATAATTAATTTTATCTCATTATTTTTGAGATAGAAATATTTTGAATGTGTGCGGTAAGAATAGATGCACATATTATTATGTCACCAAATATGATTTGACGATCCTTAGTTTATTTGTTTAATGAAATCAAATCATTTTACGGTTATTCAACTATTTTTTGATATTTTACATTTCTAGATTTTTCATAATGTTTCAATGATTTTGATGCATTATATATATATTTTACAATTTCGTAATTGGGTTGATTAAACCTTTACAGAAATTAAATAATTTCATGTATCCATAGCTTTTGGATTCTTTATTTTATCAATAATTTGAAGAACTTTTGAGATGCCTAAAAAATCACTTCCCAAAAATACTAACTAAAGTACCAATACAATTTACTATTATATACTATTCCTACTGATCGTAGCAAACTTTCTGATCGAAATCACAAGGGCGTATTTTAGAGAGGGGACAAAAGGATGATGGCCCCCCTTCTGGATTTAACAACTTGAATCGGTGTGCAGTATTTTGAATTTCGATTTTTTTGACATCCACGGTACCGTTCTGTCTTATGATCATAAGCGTGTGCAGACATAACTGGCAGGGTAGTCAAACATAACACATTATCATTTAATATTAACAAAAAATTTGCATTCGTAACTTCATTTAACTTAAAAACTATATTTCTCCAGTATTCTTACATTTTTTTTAACGTTAACTAATGTTTCGAAGTGGTTGAAAATAATATGTTTATTTATTATTGTGATCATATTGAATATTTTGGTGAGGGTGGGAAGTTTCACAGAATAGTCAAGTACCTACCCTGACTACCCCGTGTGCACGCTTATGCTTATGATTACATGTTACGTGATAATAACTACTATAGTCTAAAGAAATAAAATAATTTATAAACTATTAAATATAATTTATATTATGTCTATGATAATAAGTACTTCTGATTTCGAAAACCGTGTATAAAATATTAAACCGTGTACAAATATTAAAAAAAAAGAAATACGTAACAGTAAGACCAATACATTCACTCGGAATCCAAAATATGTGAACGTGAGTCATAAACCCTTTCATTTTGATCGAAACGTTACTATTATAGAATAGTTAAAGTTTTCGTTCGTTGACATTATTACTCAAATATTTTAAATAATTTTATAAATAATCTTTTAACAGTTTTTTCTATATGTAGGTATAGTGCAATTAATTAGTATAACCAGATAAAAATTGGTTGATTTCATGATTATTTCTATGTGGACTTTTATTTAATATCTTCAAGTCACTCGGACAACTAGATAAAATCAAGAATTAATTGAATAGCTACGTCGTGGACTGCGTTCAAGACTAAATCTACAAAACATTAATCTTTGCTGCGCAATGAACAGTTATTCGTATGATTATACTTCGATCATCAACGAATTCTTTGAGTCATGGTATTTATCCGGTCTACGGTTCATCTCGCCGAAGGTCATCTTTATAGTTGCATTCCTTGCACCCATACAACTGGTAATAATCATCAGACTGCAGGTTTGGCAAAAGTAACCATGATTGTTGTCTTCAATCTTGCTATTGATCAAACATAGAATAAGTTCACCAATTATTCCGTATTGGTACTTTTTCATTACGTAAACGGTTTAAAAGATTCCAATACAGCCACTATGTATCTATATAATAAACTCCAAAACTAAGAAAATAAATAATTATTTTGATTTATAAATATTTTTAAAATCATTTTTATAGTCAATCAAGTGCTATACAATATTATTTTTCTTATTTTTCTTTTATTCATGAGAATAAAGAAAAAAATAATCGTACTATATTGTATACGAATAAGACCAATTCCTATTGTACAAATAGACTGAACTATTTCATCTGTTTAGTCATCATAGAACGAACTATATAATAAATGTATAGTTTCATCACGATAATACGACGATATAATACGGTATTTTAGTATTTATCGATTTGTCACATGGATATCTACAGTTAAGAAAGAAGCACAAATATATGTCCATACAACTATGCGCTGAAAAGCGATTAATGTTTAGTTCTATTTATCTGTATGTATGTGAAGTATATTACTGTATGCGTATATCCGAAATAACAATAGTACCCAAATATACACACAAAATAAATGTATTGTGTAAATATCTATGAGACAAATTAAAAGAAATGTGTCACCTAAACACACAAATAACGGAATACCTGCCTGTATGGTAATAAATGTACCAAATAGATTCAATTTCAGTAAAAAATTTCTCAAAAACGTTGAAAAATGTTACATTACTTTAATAATATTTAACGTTTTAAGTAGAGTATGTAATTTTCGTTGCTTGCTTTCTCGAATTCTTGTTGTTTATGATTGTATATATTCTTAATGTATGCTACGTGTTTACCTGTAGCTAAGTTCACACCTAGTAAACATCTGGAGAAACATTGTTTGTCCAATGTTTGTTAAACAGTTTGTGAAAATAACAAATATTTTATTTGTTTGCTCAATTCATTATTTATGATTATGACATATCTAAAGCAAGTCACTTATGTAGGAGCTGCGTTTATTCATAATCACTAAAAAAAAAGAAGTATAGAAGTAAGAGACGATGGCGGGTAAGACAATTACTACAACGCCAAAAAAATGATAGTGAAGAATGTTTCACTTTGGATTTACACGCAAATGATTTATTATACTATTAATTATTATTTTTTTTGTATTTTTTTTATTTTTATCTATGTTGTTTGTAAATATCCATTTAAGATAACACCAGTGGTGATTTTGACCAAACTTCAAGAAGGGGACGATTTAAAATATCAACCCCACTGAACAATTGTATAGCTCAAAATAAATAATAATATATGGTAATATATAAGTATTGTATAGAAACATTTATTTATATGAAATAATTTTTCTTTTTAAAAAATATATAGATTCATGATGTTAAATTAATGGTAGATATATTTTTTTTGACGCATTGACGAACAAAATTGTTTGAGAACACAATGTTCGAACATGTTTGTTGAATATTTTGGATGTTTAACGAGCGTTTGATCAAACGATTGTAAAATATTTGTTTGGTGTGGACACAGCTTTGATATTCTATTTCGATAACATGTGATAAAAAGTATTCACATATATTATATTTTAAATTAGAATTAGCTTTTAGCAAAACTTATTTTTATTAAACGGAATGATCTAATGAACATTTAAAACATTTCAATTATCTTCTATTGCCTATTGGCCGTGACCTGTTTTTAACTATCATAAATACGTGTACACGCATAAAAAAATAATGACTCATAGTTCACTTTAATAGAAGAATAATACTTTCTTAATTACATAATTTTGAAACAATGGATTTTTTTTTATTTTATTATTTACGTTATTTAAAAATATATGAAAAAATATAATTTTAAATATATAATTAAAACTATTAATTAAATTCGATTAATTAGCTATTTTAACATACCTCTATTACGAGTACCACAAGTAATTAAAAATTAAAACTATTAAATTCAATTTGTAATAATTAAATAAATATAATTTTGCTTATAACCATTGTAAATTTAAAATTTAAATAAATATTTAAAGCTCTTATCTGAATAACAATTTTTAAAACATTATAGTTAAACTAAGATTATGGAAATGTTGAAAACGGTATTATTATATATATTTAATAATGAATAATAATATATATATTGTAATATTTATCATAATAAATTAAAAACACAAAAAACGTACAGCATGGTGCACACGAATTTATGGTGACCAACATGATAATTTGCGACTGCTGTTAAATAAGTGGTTTTAAAAAGAAAACATGTATAGCTACTACTTATAACTACATAATACATTATATCATTAGCTCTATAAATAACCTAACTCATGTTTTTCAATTCGCCTAAAATTTTATCTAATTTGTATTTGATCATAAATATAAGCTTAAAAACTATTGAATGTTCTAGTTCGAATCTTGAACTATATTATTTTAATATTTCGCACCCGGTGTTAAATAATATATCTAAAGAAATATTGTATACATATATTATATGTTTTTGAAATCCGCACATACTATCCATATTCGTCAATCGTAAGTATAAAATTGTTATTTATTCTTTTCATTAAAAAAAAAAAAAAAAAAAATGTTTATAATATATAAATGTATTATTATTATTATTATTTGGTTTTTTTTTTTTTTGTTGTAATTTATCTGTTATAAATCTAACGTTTACCGGTACGTTAATTTTCAAGTACCCAATGTAATATTCGGTACCGAAGTATATTTCACGATAGGTTTACAATATACACCTGCGAGACCATCAAACATAGGCCGCGTCACCTGCCCGTGGATACACTGTTGTAAAAAATTCACCTGGACGCAACAGCGCGTCGTCGACCGCAGAAAGTCGAATTTCCCATGCGTCTACGCGTAAAACCATCGCGATTACGTTTAAGTCCGTCTCGTAAACCGTGTTCGCTGTTGTATACGTGCACGTCAAACGTGATCGATTACATTAAACAGTGGACTACGAAGCATTATTGTCCGCGTTTATATAACATCAACGTACCTACCGTTGGAATTTCGAAGAACCATTACGCAGTGCAGTTGTAATATTATTATACACTTTTGGTATAAGGACTGAATGACACACGCACGCAAACGGCAGACACCATTTTTTTTTTTTTTTTTTATGCGTTCGGTGGTCTTCGTACGAGAAAAATACGTATTAATCGGTTAGTACATTGCCGCTACGTATCTGTCCGGATAGACTACACGCTGTCGGTGTAGTACGCGTAGTAGGGTCACGGAGGGGAAAACCGTTTCGAGTTTCACATCACCGTGGCGCGCGCAGTGTCAGTGACTTCAACGCCCGGCTCAGTTTCTGGCTGTCGTTCTGTGACGTTATACACCGCGTGCGCGTCCAAGTTTCCGTTACGCGGTGCAGTAATAAAATCATCGTACGCACGTTTTTTTTTTTTTTTACGCTTACAAAACTTTGTCGACCGTTTTCATACGGATCGTTCTCCCTTTCGATAACGGTAAATCTTTCTTCCCGTCCAGGATCGCACTTTCCAAAACAGTGTTCCGCGCGAAACGCATTCGGGTCCGGTAGTTCACACACGGGTCCTTTCGTAGACGTTGCCTTGCTCGTACGCGGAACATAATAATTTCAATACTGTTTTTTAACGCGATTTTTGTGCAATGTGTTTGTGAATGTGAGTGCATATATTCTGCCCGGAAATACGTGCATAAAACGTTAACACCGGTGTGATCGACACGAAAATGTAATTAACGTCACTTTGACGATGAAGAGCGATTTTATAATGCTTATGACACTGCTGCTTGCTATCACCATCATCGGTAAGCTAATACTTACGATTATTATTATACTATGGTCTATTTTTTCACGATCAAAGTAATACTGCCACGTGCGAAGTTGAACGATCTAATATTTGTTCTTTTGATACACAAAAACATAACATCGACATTTAATTAATGGAAAAATTGTAAGATAGTTTATTAGTATAAATTATCTTAAAATTTTTTTTTTTTTTTTAACGTTTGCGATATTTAAATTATACCAATATTAATTACGATGTTCAACGTTTGATATAAAAATGTATTCGTCTCGCATTTTTGCCATCATTAATTTGGACTTAAAATTTTCCTTGATAATGTTAACTATGGTTAATTTCTAAATACTAAATGTATGTGAGTTACGAACTACGTTTAAAACAATGTTAAGTAATAATTAAGAATTTAGTTGATGGTATGAGAGACACGTACAGATATCAGTAACTTTTAAATGGTCGCACGAATGAAATTGATACTGCTTCAAAATGACGAAGATATAATAATGTATAGATTTTACTAAATATTCGATATTATTTAAATATTGTAGAATCGTGCGAAATACAAGTATTATTATATCTTCATAAACAGTAGCTTTATTTTGTTTGGCGAAATCGATTTATCGTGGTGACGAGAGAAACCGAACAATAATCTATGGTTAAGATCAACGTATTCCTATGTGTATATAATAATGATGGTTATAGACTACATGAAAAAAATTGATAAACGTTTATATGTATGCAAAAAATATACAACAACGTGCGTATTAACAGTAACTTTAATATCTTTGTGAATATCACATAATATGCAGTGTACATTTCTAACGAATCAACCGTTTTCCGATATTCATACAGTATACTATTTGTATAAGTGCACTGTGTACGATTTGAAAAACATCATCGCGTTCGCGTTCTCGACGGTCGTACAATTGGTTTATTATTATTTTGAAATATTTCTTTTTGTGTGTACCACGGGTTTTATAAGGCAACATAAAAAAATTTTTTTTAAAAGAATGAAGAAGAAAAATAATATCTATAGGCGGTTCGCCGACAGATGCTTGGTATAGATTGATGGATGAAACGGAGACGTGTCAACGAACGCGCGGGGAATTTTTATGAAACGACGACGACGATGGCAGAAACAGAATCCGGTACATCGGTTTCCGGTGTTTTACGGTCAAAATGCGAATGGCCGCCGGTCGTTTGTTACCAAGAGGACCGTGACCCGTCGCGCGTACCTTTTATTCTAATACGCATTATACGCATACGCGTATCACAAGAGAAAGTGAATTATGTTATGTGTGTGTGTATAGTATTATGGCTATGCCATGTGCGATCGTCATCGAAATTTCCGTGCGCTCATACGGAACTCGCTCCAGCAGGATTTCAGTGTACGCGTTTACGTAACGTCCTTCGAACGCTACGCGTTCAGAAACGATTGTCTCCGTCATTCGACCTGCCCAGGACCGGCACGGCGTGCGCGTGCGCTATCTAATCGGCCAACACGGAGAGCAGCGGTTTTACAAGCCAATGTTTGTGACAATAATTTTTCCGTACAGCCAAAACCGCGTGGCGCGAAACGAACCTTAACCAAGGGTCGATGACGGGAGAACGTGGAAGAATTCGAAAACGAAAAACTGTTGTTGTCGCACAAACAAAACCCCCAGGATTTTTAAGCTTTCCGCGTATTCCGCGATTAAAACCCTTTTCGGTACGATCGTTGTTAGTCGTCACGCGGTATGAGAACAGCTAACAATCAAACAGTACAACGAAGGCTGGACCAGCTCGATCAGACATACTGAAACGCCGATACACTGTGTGTACATTCGACCGGCAACATTTTCGACAACGAGACAGGATACGTTTCTCCTACGGTAATAATAATACTTCGTATTTCATCCGTTGGTCTAACTGCAGCGAATCGATTCGTACGATACTCGCAGGCCGACCCGGTAACCAATTCGTAAGCGTCCGTCAAGGTGAATCGAACAACGTCGGGAGACGCTACGATTGTGCATTTTAAGTAAAAAATAATAATAATAAACGTGAAATACGACCGAGCTACTGCCACCAGCGACTCTATTCCCGAACGGCAAACTTCCTCGGAATATGTACGATAGTCGTATAGCGACGATATCGTTTCAACGATGCGAGTATATTTCATTTCGAACTAATGAAAGAAAATTTCTACGGTTTTCGAAAATTAATACCACACGTCTAACGATGTATAAAAATACTTGTGTCTTGGCATCGTAAAATTAAAACATAATGCGCCTGGTTTCACTAAAAAATTTTTTGATTTGCAAGCGAAATATTTATTTGCATATACTATTCAATTTATACGGTTTATAAGTCCATTTGTCAACACGTCGATATTTTTTTTTTGAGAAATAAATAATTAGAAAATAATTATAGCACTTGATATAACTTATTATCTCTACTGTGTTGCATAACATAATATGTATTATGACGTAGCAAATATTATTACGTCGGAAAATTCTTAAAATATTTTTTTTGAATTTTCGTTAGCTGACAGAACAATTATAACACGGTATTAATACTCTACGGTATATCGCGGTACTGGTGTTCTGCCCGGTACGACAATGCATGACTTAGCGTTCTACCTACGCATAATCAATTGGGAAATCGCCATCATTTGTTAGCTTTGTATACTTGAAAATATGTTCATAGCAAACTAATATTATTTTGGTCATTTAATTCCTTAATTTTAAATTATAAAACAAATTAAATAATAATATTGTAAAAAAACGAACTAGAATAGAACACATATTTACACCTAAATTGTTTAAAAACAATAGTATTTCTGTTTACAGTTATATAATATCGACAAAATAAAAAAAGTAAATTTGAAATGTAAATATGTTTAATAAATATATAAATATTATTATACATTATATTAATACACGTCATATTTAATTCTTAATTTTGATTTACTTAAATCTAAAATAGTTATAATATATTATTATAAATTAAAATCATAGTATTCACCATGTACGTCGTGTGAAATCGATAATTACACATATATATATATATATATATACAATTACATTTACAAATATTTTCTTTTTGAGTAATCTAATTAAATAAGTAACTGTTTTATGGTATATATGCATTTATTTTTGTTTTATTCAATTAGAACACAACGATCTGTGACTACACCAAAACGATTTTTTTAATAATAAATTCAATACACTATGATTTCGTACATTGACCTTTCAATAGTAAATCAATTACAACATCTTTGTAATTAAAAATATAAATTTCGCCTTTTGACAGATCTTTACAAAAATATTTTGATGGAAGTATACCTGTAACAAGTTTATCTTCATCCTCAAATATTACTAGTAACCATTAATAGGGCATTAAAACTATTTAAATCAAATATTTGTAGAAATAATCTTAAGAAATGTACAATTGAAGTTTTAACATGTAAACAAGTTATAATATGGAAGGATATGAAACTATTTGAACGTGTAGAATAGCGTCTATAACCAAACCTATATCCTTATTTTATTATAACCAGGAAAAAGACATCAATGATATTTTGTCTGGTGTGTTTCGAAATAAAATTATTCTAATACTTTTTGTGCAGAAGGATCGGTTGATATTTAAAAATTATGTTTGTACACTGAACTTAATTTTTCAATAGACACACTGTTACATAATCGATAGAACTTAATAGTAAAATATATTCGCTATACATTTTAGTGAATGGTTGGTTTGATAGATGTTTAATCGTCTAATAAGTAAATATTTGGTATTCTTTGTTGACAAGTAAAATATATTACAATGCACACAAGAACCGTGTATAACATAGAACGTTCTATACATTTTAGTTTTGCAATATTTAACGAGTTAGCGAATAGAAATATATCGATTTTTATTACTTGAAATTAATTTTAAATAACCGTACATAAAATTAAAATTTAAACTTCGCATCTATTTTACTAGCCGAATGAATGTATTATATTTCTGGCGGTGTACATGTTGCATGCAACGTTACAAAATGACCACCATACACAATGAAGTAATCGTTCTACACATTATATTAAGGTACAAAGTGTATTGCGTTAATATAAGGACGATACTTAATAATAAAATAAATACTGTTAGTATTTCCTATCGAATTATAATTGCGGACGAATTAATTTTTACACGTACAGTTTCGTTTACGATATATGAAATAGTTATTAAATCAAATTATTTTTAAGCGGAACAACGTAGCGACGGACCATGTCATAATTCACTGTGAAACTGTTTAATGGGAATCGTGTGGAAAAAAATGTAACTTTCATCCTCATTATAAAAATAAAAATACAACGAAATATATGTATTTCCATAATATGCATTTTTCTACCGGACCAGCATAATTAGATCATATAAATATTTATATTATTTAGTGCACGCAATTGACCGAGTCTCGAGTATATTATATTGTAGATAGACTCCCTCGATATATTATCACGTGAATTCATGCGTTTATCACGTCTTGAGAAGGGGAGATGAAGACTTTTAATTGACTTTCTTTTCTCTACTTTACACAGCTTGTTTTTCTTCCGTCTACCACGCAGCAAACCATATTAAAGTCGTTTAATAATTTATGTAAGTAGATATGTGGCGTGAGAAATATTCGGAAACTCAATTCGTTTTAAACGTAAAAACTTATATTATTAGAGAACGCGTATATACTTCGGGATACCAGGATAATATGTTAGTATTATATTTTATATAAAATATGCGTACGATTTAGTTTCATTTAAAATGTTTGTATCCGATTTACAGTAGGTGTGGTACAACTAATAAATTATGTCCCGGTATGTGCCACGACCCATGATGGATGGGGCCACTCACAATCACAACATGATAACGCATTAACATATTACTAAACTAATAATAAAACCGTTTAGAAAACTCATTGCGTTTTTCGGATTTGCATTTTTACAAAAACCACACAAACTGATGGTATACGTCAACGATGAACGACTCTTC